CGATTTTTACGATGTTACATGCATATTTAGAATATGAAGGCATTTGAAGAGCCATGCTTTTCAGGGAACATGTCTTAACTGATGTTCTTCCACACTTGCATAATAAGAATGAGTAATGCTCACAAATTATTTTTCACCTCTTCCCAGAACTCAACCTTCTCTTTAAGCTCCCTTTAACCTTTCTTCTTGACATTGCCTTATCACTCACACATTGATTTGTTTGTGTTTACACAATAGTTTGCTTCACTAATAAGTTCTGAGTAATATGTACATATCACCACGTTACACCCCCTTCCTGCGGAATGACGCAAGTTAATTACTCAAAATTGGAAAAACGGGGGCAAGGGAAATGTGTGTCATGGAATGTGATTGGCCAATATCCGAGTTCTAACAAAATCCGGATTTACTGTACATTGGAGCCTCTTCTCCTTCTCCTCCTCCTCCTCCTCCTCCTCCTCCTCCTTCTCCTCCTTCTTCTTCATCTTCTTCATCTTCTTCTCCTTTTCCTCCTCTTCTTCTTTTCTTAGATCTTTTTTCGTCTTTCTTTATTATTCTTCTTCCTTCTCCTCCTCCTCCTCTTCTTCTTTCTTAGATCTTTTCTTCTTGCTTTATTCTTCTATTTCCTCCTCTCCTTCTCATTTCTTAGATATTTTCTTATTATTATTTTCCTTCTTCTCTTCCTTCTCATCCTCTTCGTTTGCCATTTCATCCTTCTCTTCCTGCTCCTCCTCTTCTTCTTTCTTAGAACTTTTCTTCTAGCTTCATTCTTCTATTTCCTCCTCTTCTTCTCATTTCTTAGATATTTTCTTCTTCTTTTTATTTCCCTTCTCCTACACTGTACTTCTCCTCCTTCTCCTTCTCATCCTTCTCATCCTATGCCATTTCCTCTTTCTCCTTCTCCTCTTCCTCCTTCTTCTCCTCTTCCTCCTTCTCTTCCTCCTTCTCTTCCTCCTTCTTCTTCCTCCGATAATGAAGTTTAGGGGGTAGTTCCCCTCAATGTGATGTCTTGCATGAGTTGGGTAGGAGTAGGACTGAGCCTAAAAATCAATTATAGCATTGGGATGCCCTGGTAGATACAGTGAATCTGAATGTATCATGTTAAACATGTGAATTGTATTTGATTAAAATATTGTTCAGGTTTCATACATCTTATTGATGAGTCTGGCTGTCAGTCGGGTTGTTAATTTTTGTATAGATTTATTTTAATAATCAAAGGTTCATGTACTATTCTCATGTACATACAGAGCATTTAACTCAATATAAGAGGCTTTGACATACGTAGTGTACATGCACTGTTTAGTATGGCAGGATACCATAACCAAGAACAACTTTTTTTTAAATTAAAAATTAAAATTAAATAAAAAGAGAATGAAATTAATTTCATGATAATTACAATTAATTAGTTCCAGATAAGATTCCCCCCAACACACTTCATAAAAGAAGAGATGTCAGTTTTCTTAGTGCAATATAAAACTTTCACTTGTTTCCTAAACCATCTTAAATAACATATTTGTGCTAATTTCAATTTTTTTGTTTGTTAATACCTTTAAAGCACTTTTACAATGTACATTCATGATACATATGATGCATATATTGTTATAGAGTATAGACAGTGAATATTAAATTCAGTGAATTGATTGTGAAATGTAATTTAACTATAGGAGCAAGATTTAAAATAAACAGCACTAACATTTTTGTTTAGACAGACTTTGTTGTTCTTTCATGATTCTTTACTTTTTTTTTAGGGGGGGGGGGTAATTATCATGTACATGTAGGCTATATGTCATATACTTGAGAAACTATTAAAGCCCCAAATGCTTATAGTTTGTATCTATTATGATTGTTTCATCATTTCTTCTTCACTTGGCCTACATGTACATGTATATGTACATGTATGTAATATACATACAAACTCAGATTAGGCAAAAAACTACAATTTTATTGTTAAGCACTGTCAAACCAAACAGATTGTGCATGCATCATGCACAGGACTATACAAATACACTGCAGCAGAGTGCTTGATAATTCCTCCATCTCCATGATAACTGTGTACGATGCAACTCTGTGCTGAAAATTACATGTAGGTACAATAGTCGGAAGGTCACAATGTTCACTCGACTTTTGCTTGAAAAATCAATCACTCATTCACACAGATATGATAACTGCCCTCTTGAGTTCTAGATGTTACAGTTTTTTGGCAGGGTGTCATTTTCATACTGTATGGACTTGTACACTGTCGTCCTTAAACATGATACATGCAAATACAAGATGATATTTTTTTCTTTTTCCATACTGTACGTGTATTTTTCTAGTTCGGAATATGAGGTTACCCATCTCAGATTTATACTTTCCATAGATGAATCTGTCTTTGAACCTTTTTTGTGGCAATTTTAGGGAGAAGCATGACTTTCTTATTTTACTTTATAATAAATAATTATAATGATATTTCACTCTTATATAGCGCTTAATACATTTACGATATCTCTATTAAAGTGCTTTACAGATTACCCCGGTCATTGGATTCAATACTTGCCCGCACACACTGTGTGCACAATCTCCACCCCTTCAGGAGCATTCCAGCCAGGCGTTATGATCACTTGCAATAAAAAAAGATTTACAAGATTATGAAACAAGGTGATCGTTTTTGCAGTTTCATACAATTTTCACAGTGATTTTCTCTTGGATTTTGACATATTTGGGGATTGGTGATTGCACAGGGTCTCTGCTTCTTTTGTGTTAAATCCCCATTTAAAAGGGCCAAAGAGTGCCCATTTTTCAAAAGTGCAAAGGTACTCCAGTCTGCGGCCCATTTTGATAATCAAACATTTTGATTTTTAAAGTGTACCACTACTAGTACTAATTCCAATAACATTTTAACATCATCATCATCATCATCATTTATCATCATCATCATCACTGTCATCATTATAGTCCTCATCATCATAGTCGTCATCATCACTATGAATATGGATTATGAATTCAATGGACCTGACTGTACTAAATGGCAGGGTTATAGAGGTCATAATTTATAAAAAGCATGCAGTCAGTAATATGACGAGTAAACACAAATTATCTTGCATCAATGATTACATTGTACAATACATGTGCGACTGGAAATCAATGATCTCAGAGAAGGAGCATTGCTTGTTGGGATAAGTGCGTGCTGCTTTCATTTTTCTGGATTTGAGGGATAAATAATGGGGAAGCCGTGAAGATGATTTTAGGGTAAATATTTGTAGAGGAATAATTCCTGGATGGGAGGTTGATGATGATGAGTCATCCCTGAAGGTGAACATGGAGCATCTGTAGAAGGAATAGTAGTCTGCAATTAGAGACTCTATTTAGATAATGAACTATATTAAATTTGAGAGACAGTCGAGACTTGAGCCAAGTCTGACTACTGTACATTGGACATGATTTGATTAGTCTGTGTAGTTCAGACCTTGCATTAACACTGACCTGTGGGGTTCGTGCTTGCAAGCTACAGTATAAAGGGAAACTGGGGGGAGTGAATGTTAAAAGTAGATGTCTGCTAGTTGGCGAGAACATGAGCCGTAACTGATACTACGAGGTCTGAACTACATGTATCTCCGCTAAGACTACACTCGTTTGAGATTTGACATCTTGCCTAAATTGTCAAATTTGTGTAGGCTAGACTCAAGTCACTGAAGTTTGTTGTACATTGTAGGTGTCAAAGAGAGTCTGTATTCACAGACTAGACAGGATCTTTTAGGATGAAGTCCAGGGTCAAAGATGGTGATGGATGCGAGATCGAGAGAGGAGAAGATGGAACATAGAGAATGTTCTTTAAAAAGACAGACACGTTAGCAAATTAACTGTTATCGCCAGAGACGTGATTTTAAGTCAACAAATTGCTCTATTAAAAAAAGAGATATCATTCATTAAAGCCAATTAGTAGATGTCCTGCGTGAAAAGTTACACTACCGGTATATTGAACAGAGGCTTATGAAAGAAATTTAGGAGGCTAATTTGAAAGACATTTAGGTCTTTTTTTAGGAGGCTAATTTTTAAAGTCAGGACTGTATTTACGATCACCATGGACATACTCCAGTCTTAAAGTGGCTTCTTTTTAAAATCAAGTTTCATGGATCTATGAAATTTACTCATATTATAAAACAAATGAAAAAATGATGCTTTTGTCTGTTCATTATATGAGCCATCAGCTCTTGATGAGGCTGGTGGACCTACATGTGTATCAAACTCATCCAAATAGTTTCATACAGTATATGAACATGTACACACACCCATGTCATGTTGATAGATATTATACATGTATGTACATGTATGTATTTATTATTATTATTTTTTTTTAAATTTCACTTCTTTATTCAGGGTAATCCTGTATTGATAAGCACCAAATAATATTTCCATTGTTTTGGAAATTGTCAAGATATTGCATTGATGATTTGAAATATGACATAATTTCATGAGCAATCATTTTTAACGGGACGTACATGTACTTGACATGTATCTAGGTCTACTCATATATCCTCCGCTTAGGAATAAAAAGAGAAGATAGTTATTAACTTGTATTTTTCCGTTCACCGGAACTCGGCCTTCTCTTAACATTTCGATATGCACATAATATCGTAAATGTGTAAAAATATGAAAAGATATAACACATTTTCTGTCTTGCATATTTATTAAAATTCACAACATACTAACAAATTAGGTCATGAATTATGAGTTGAGAGAGAGAAAGAGAGAGAGAGAGAGAGAGAGAGAGAGAGAGAGAGAGAGAATGAGAATGAGAATGATAGGCCTAGTATCTGCATTACTAATAAAAAGAACACTGCAATTAATGTGTAACTTGGCTAATTATTAGTGGTAAAGCATTTCAGAAGACAATGGTCTACAAAATCATAATGGAAGCAAAAACAATAGCTGGTCACCCCTCTGCAAATAATGGAATGACCTGGTATTCTTTTCACTGATTAGACCTATTGCCTGAGTGCTGAAATTTGTTGTCATTATCCACCGCACATTGTGTGTATTTTCCCTGGAGCAAACAGCTGTGTGTGAGAGAGAGTGTGTGTGTGGACTAAGCATTATTCATCAGGGGGTTCGCATCTCTGCGAGTGAGTTGTTTAGCTCGGCCATCTGAAGGGCTGGTACAAAGAATATTCCTCCTGCTTACTTCATCTCTCTCTCTCTCCTCTATCTTCGGAAGAGGACTGCATCTAAAGCTGATACTACCGGGGTGAAGTCTGTGGGTAGAAAACGGTAGGTTCATAGTACGTGGAGGGGTGTGTGTGTGTGTGTTTCATATTTCATCAAGCCCAGCTAGCGTTAGCGGGCTTTTGCGTGTATGTTTTGGGAAGAGAGAGCAAGATATGTGGCATATTTGTGATGCTCTCCCCCGCAAGGCTTGACTGGCATGCCTTACTATACACTGCGAGCTAGCTGCCTCAACCAGGGTCATTTGCATGTCTACGCTTCAGCTACCAGCGAGCCAAGTGATGCATGCATTACAAACGCCAGTCACAGAAATCAGTTAAGACAAGGCTACATCTCTTGAAGGCTATTTAGGAACTACCCATGAAGCGCAGCCGCGTCTTTCCTTGGAAATGCACAATATTCCTTTCGCTTCCTCCATCACAGCATAGCAATCATCCAGCATTTTCTCCCTTGAATCATCTTCGTGAATGGATTGGAATTGTGATGTGTAGCGAGCAATCATCTTGGAACGCATCTTTTTACAAGAACCGGTAGACGGAGGATAATAACGGTGCACAAACTTGAGCTGGATGCTCTTTTGCCATCCATCATCGCATTATCAACTTCATCAACGGAGGTTTCCAATAGGAACTGTCTTTCCACCCCCGCATCTTATGAGTATGACCTCCCACAAGTTTTGTGATTATTAAAGCAGGACAGGCTAGCAGCTACGAATGGATGTAGGCTTCGCAGAACCATGTTTCTCCTGAGAGAGCTTTGTTGATCAGATAAGCGTGAAAAATTCTCCTCACCGTTGAGTTTCCAAACCTCTGACACTTTGGATTACTCATTTGTTCAGAAAAGCTAATATTCGGTGGAGAAAATATCTAGTGCTCAATAAAGACTTTAATGATGTTCATGCCGATGTCTCTTCAAATTGGAACATATTCATCCAAAGGATAATTATTACTGTGTAACATGGCTACGAAAGGATATCAGTTAAATTTTTAGTACAGAATTCTAATTATCTGAGCAATATATATTTTGTAAAGGTAGGTCAAACTGCATAATGGTTGTGTGATGGTGCATTAATGTTGTAATGTGTATTTTGTGTTAGAATTCTGTACAATATGTACAGGTAGGTGTATATTCATGCATATTGTTTGAAAAGATAAATGTAGGTACTTTACTGTACTGGCCTGTATGTAGTACATGTAGTCATTCAGTGTCCAGAGATTAATATTGATATTTGATAAACTGTGCTGAGTGCTAAGAACTGACAACGATATGATCTACATGTACATAAACTCACATAATTATTTTGCCTTATGGCTTGCTGCAGATGATGACATTTACTTATCATATATTGTTTGCTTTCACCATTTTGATAATATCAGCAAGCTACATGTAGGAATCTCACATGTAAACATGTACACAAATTAGTGAATCCAAAAAGCAGACATATATCTAATTTCTACTTTCTTGTTAATTTGATGTATGGTGGTGTGACCATAGTTCGTGCGTGACTTCACTTCGTTATCTCAAAATATTGGTACAATTTCGAAAATATGGTACCATTCCAATGGAAAGAGAAAGCTGAAATTACCCAGAGACATTATTTTTCATAGAATCAATTGGGTGTGAGATTATGACAATTTTGACAAAGGATCTACTAATTTTGTGTCCGTTCCTAAAAAATATGAACTTACCGTCAAGGGTCTGGGAATCTTTATTTTGAGAGCAGAATTAAGTTGTCAAAATTGTAAGTCAAAGATGGAACCATACGCAACTGACTGTATGATAGTTGCCTCGCAAAACATGCACTTATCTTATACATGTATTTGATTGATCGCTTTTTGTGATAAATCAGGTGTAAACTCTGTTGCAAGAATTAAGGTCTCGTTTGTTTAAATGACTTTTTCTCGAATCGCAGCGTTTCGATCTGACATCAAATTTTGAGATCGCGATATCTCCAAAATACTCTGACGATAAACATTTTCTATTTGCACCAATTTGTAATAAAAAACTTTGCTGTCCATTTGGTTACCGGTAATTGAACTAAATAAATCTATGTAGAATATGAGAAATCATGGATCCAATATCACTTTTCCTAATATTAAAAAAAAAAACCTTAATGAACTCTGGTCACCCGATTATAATATTGTTGAAATATGAATCGTGACTCCCAGCCTCCCAGATTGCCCTAGCTTCTGCCGTCGTGGTGCCCTAATTTTCTCCTGATGCATTGTGACAGTCAATCATATTCACTCTGCACTGACATTGTGATAACACAATTAGCTGGATGAATAAGCCAATTATTTCCATGCTATGTAATTTATCTTTGTGTGGTAATGTGTTCTGAAGCAATACACAGTCCCATACAAACATAAACATGTGTGTATATGGATTTTGTATTTATTACTTTGCTCTGAATATAGTCATAGACATTCTGTAGCTGATTTGCATATGTTTAATGATGCTTGGGTCATTAGAGGGAAGATTAATTTCATGAGAAGGCCATAAAATCTACCAGTAGCTTTATCATCAATTTGACCTACAACGTGTACATGTACATGCACATGTACAAGTATTATGGTTTTAAAAAGGAAATGAGTGTGAGAAAGTGTCTCAAAATACTTTTCTATTTTAGTTATTAAACATTGTGTGCCTTGCACAAGGGTACCAGCAAAATATCATTTTAAAACATAAACACCTACACATTTCTTTGGCATAATTATCAACAGCACTCCCCGCTATTAAAAACAATTTTGTTTTTCTTTTTACAAAGGGGTTAATTAATACATTGTAGGTTGATTTTTTTTTTTTTGATGGGGGGGGGGGGGGGGTCCAGAGTTCAATTTGTGTTTCATAAAACTTAATATCAATAACAAGTTACAGTATCTGTTCTGTAATAAGCTACACTGTACTGGAAACCTGGTATTTGATTGGCTGAGATCAAATTTGTAATATGAGCTTATGAAACAGGGCCCAGACAGCCCCTATAACTGGTGAGCACTTGATAACAACATAAAATATTGGTCATAACAACAGCTCAATCATGTTCAGAATCAATAGTGATCAGCATTCAATCCACAGTAGTCCAGTGCATACTTGGTGACAAGTTGGTGTACATGTACACGTGTACCCAACACATTTTCAGTGTCGATAATGTATTATGTAACAACATTAAACAGGGATTTGCTGGACAACATTAATCATTTTTTGAAATCAATACTTTCATATAATTGATTAGCATAATTTACAGTTATAAGCCGTGCAAGAAGTCCAGTATGTCCACTGCACTATTAAAGGTGTTAGCTTGTTGGACTCTCCCTGTCCGTCACTGCCTGTCACTGACCGCTGAGAGCTGACAGCTCAATAACGTAATTAATGAGCGAGTAACCTAATTATTAATGTCCACACTCTCTTATCATTCAACTCATTGATCTACTCCCTTTAGGCTAGACCTGTTGTAGAGGTCAAGTGGATAAGTCACTGGACTGTGAACCACAAGGTGCAGGGTTTGAATCCCTGCCATAGCATTAACGTCCTTTGGCAAGCATCAATATACATTTGCTGGACCCTCTAGACTAGACCTGTTGTAGAGGTCAAGTGAAAAAGTCACTGGACTGTGAACCACAATGTGCAGGGTCAAATCCCTGCCATAGCATTAACGTCCTTTGGCAAGCATCAATATACATTTGCTGGACCCTCTAGACTAGACATGTTGTAGAGGTCAAGTGGATAAATCACTGGACTGTGAAACACAAGGTGCAGGGTTTGAATCCCTGCCATAGCATTAACGTCCTTTGGCAAGCATCAATATACATTTGCTGGACCCTCTAGACTAGACCTGTTGTAGAGGTCAAGTGAATAAATCACTGGACTGTGAACCACAAGGTGCAGGGTTCAAATCCCTGCCATGGCATTAACATCCTTGGGCAAGCATCAATATACATTTGCCACACTTGTCCCAGGTGTAGCAAGTGAGTACCTGGTAGGATTTATATTGTGAATGCTCTGAGCCCTGATGTTTGCTCGTTGGTAAAGCTAGGGTAGTACAATGTGAACTAGGTATTGTTCGTCTTCTGACTTTTTATTTGGTATATTTTTGATGAAACCGAAATGAAATTGAATTGAATAACAATTGAATCAAATACATGTTATATCCAAAGTCATTTGGAACAGCAAGAAGATGTGCGCTGTATATAATATACAAGAACAGAATATTATTATTTAGATTAATTTAGATACAGGCATGTTGTACTTTGATCGTTTTACAGGGATTTATTACTATCCCTTTTTCCCACTGTAGGCCTGCATGTGAAATCATTTTTAGATACAAGGAGATGAGTAATTCTTGTACTTTTAGTTAGGAATGACATTTTCTGCCTTCCTGTGCCCGCAACCCTTTTCCTTCACATCACATCTGTTTTAATCGAGACCTGATATGAAATACATGTACTGTGTGCACCGATAGATCCGTGTTAATTTTATCATTGTGTTATTTTCATCACTGTGTTAATTTGAGCATGACACAAGATTTATCTGGGCTTGATACAGTTACAAATACATGTAGGCCCCAAGATTTGGATATAATTTGATCCCCCTAAATTTTCATTTTTTTTTATCAGTGGCCTTGTGCATCCCAACCGTAAATATCAAGTCTGGACCCCATATGAGAGTATGTATTAAAGACCGAGTATGTATGGTACATGTAAATGTACCTGTATGGAACCTGGGTCCTAGCAAATGATGATAATACATTGTACAGGAAACTGACTGGAGTCCATGGAGGGAAAGGAACCTCAGACATTTCTGGTGACCCCAAAATTTGATCAATTTCACTGAGATATGATAGCAGGGCCCCCTTTGACCCCTAACAGTAACATGCCAGTCGGCTTGGAGCCATGGAATCGTCATATAGACATGGACACTAGTGTAAGGGCATAATTGGTGCACTTTTGAAATGTGGATTGGAGAAGAAAAAAATGAGGAAAAAAATGGGGGGGAAAAAAAAAATCAATTTTTTAACAGGGGCCTCATGTACAAAACCCCTCCAAATTCAATCCAGCCCCATGTAATATTAAAATAAAGTTAGTTTGGACTGTGACGCCATAGTATATTGATATTACATTGTACAGGAAATTAAGTAGGGTACACATTTACAGTGTACTATACATTTAGGTCATATAACCCCCTGATATGCACAGTGACCCTCAAATATGATAACATATTTTTATTGAAATTATACTGATAGCTGGACCCCATTGGCTCCTTCTTGTCTGGATTTTAGGAAGTGACAAAAAAAAAAGCTCTTTCCATTTTTCAAAGGCAATACAAGAATGGTAAATAAATACAGATAAGGTGAAACATGAAAAAGGTCAGATATTGTTTCTGACACGATAAAGAAGTGGACAAAGGCTTGACCATTAAAGCCACTGTACAGTAATTACATGTTCTTGTGCTCTATTGTTGAACATGTAAATAAAATCCAATTTATCAACACTGCTTCATTTGTTTCGCTCTTGAAACAAGAGAGAAAGAGACAGCTGATAAAAGATTAAAAGCAAGCAATGATAAATGGTCCTGGTATCCTAGCCTTGTTTACGAATGCGTCACATGACATCTATAGTAAAAGACTGGCCACCGACTGGCAAGCATGCTGGGCATATCGCCCCCAGGAGTGGCGTTGAACTTGCCAAAAATACTGGTCAAAATGACTTGTCTCATGTTCGGCATACCTCAGCCATGTGTGTAGCTCAATGACTCAAACCAAGACCAGTGGAGACCAGTGAATGACGCCATTGAACATGACTCGCTTGGTTTTGTGGGAATCTAGTAGAATTGTGGAAAGTGGTTAGAGAGTTAATGGAAGCAGTGTAGAAATACTGTTTGTACCAGTTCTTAATTTCCTTGTTGCGACACTCATGGTTTTTTTAAATTTTTCCAGAGCTTTTTTAAAATCATTATTTCTATACCTGTAGCTTCATTGCTTTCAGGAGATAAGTACTGAGGTCAGAACTACACACTTTGACCTTGGAGCCCTGTTTTTATTGTATCACTTACATTGGGGGGGGGGGGGGGGGACAGAATGTGCAGAAACAGAGATGAAAAAAATGGTCTTGAGAGCTCAGAAAAAGTGTTTGTGAAATATGTTTTTCTTCCCCTCTCCCCCTCTCATTCTCTCTCTCTCTCTCTCTCTCTTTCTCTCTCTCTCTCTTTCTCTCTCTCTCTCTCTCTCTCTCTCTCTCTCTCTCTCTCTCTTGTCTGTTTTCCCATCTCCCCCCCCCCTTTCTTCCTATAGTTTCCATCTATCTGCTTCGTCGTCGCCCCTATTTGTCTGCCCTTGAAATCTATGTTCTCAGACATCTGCAATGTGCATAAGTGTATTATATTTTCCCTTTTGTCCCCCTTCTTATTCTCTGATGTGTTCCTGACACATGTTCCACGTGTAGTACAGTTAGATGTATCTGTAAATAGAAATACATTTATAGAACAAAGCATATAAATAGCCTACATGTTCATGATCTGTTTTTATTACTGCGGAGCAGAGTATAATATACTGGTAGTCAGTCATGCAGGTACATGTACTTGTGCGATGAAAGTATACTCAGTGTATTGCTTACATGTACCTGTAGGCCTCGTGTATAAAATCGTATCATATTTCTTTCCAAAGATGAATAGGCTATTGCACTTTTATATCTCTTTTAATTTACATATTATGTACGTACTGTATAGTCTGATAACTGACTTTTGCAAATGTCATAGACGTTTACGTGTACATATAGGGATTTGCGATATATAAAGAGTTGTAAACTAACTTTATTTATACAGATGTATTACCCTATGCAAAAAGCTTATATTACCTCAATAGAGTGGTGAAGTGTGACGTCATCAAAAATATATTTTTAGAATTTCTCAATTTTTTCTTCATATTCCAAAAGAGCACCAAAAATAATGTCCTAACCATTAGGAGCCAGAACATATAACACTCAGTTCCTATGGGGACTATATTTATTCAGATGGTCATATCTCAGCCAATACTTAACATATTCAATTGGTTTTCGACTTTTGGACATTATTTTTAATGTTCTTTTGGAAAATGAAGAAAAAATTGAGAAATTCTAAAAATAGATTTTTATGACGTCACAGCTTCGGTACTCTATGGTATCAATCAACCCTTAAAGAGAAGGTTGAGTTCTGGGAAGAGGTGAAAAATAATTTGTGAGCATTACTCATTCTTATTATGCAAGTGTGGAAGAACATCAGATAAGACATGTTTTCTGAAAAGCATGGCTCTTCAAATGCCTTCATATTCTTCTAAATATGCATGTAACATCATAAAAATCGGGGGGCCGGCTTTTTACGCCACGTGTTCGTGTAGTCCCATATACATCTTTCTGTGTACAGTGTTTGTAACTTTACCAAGACTTGGCCACATTTCTTATCATTTTGATGATTCCAGAACCTTGCAATACACACAAATTCTTATGTGCTATATGATCAACCTTTTCTGGTCGGTTCCACACCGTTTCTTTCACAATGCAATCGCATGACCAGAACTCAACTTCATCTTTAATAGCAATCTATAGTTTGCCTAACAATCTACATCTATTAATCACACTAAGGAAATGATTATTCAAATTAATCAAGCTTTAATGGCATCATTATAATGTGATCATGTACAGTACACACTAGCACCATGCATTACATTTCACAGTGTACATCCATGTACAACTGTACCTTGAAAACAGTATGGGGAAATTATCAACCCTTATTATGATTATGAAGAGGAAATATAGGTCATGGAAAAGGAATTGTGTTGAGTGTGTATTTGTCCTGCCTTGCTTACAGCTAATTGTATTACATTAGCAGCGCAGGAGAGAGAGGATACAGTTATCTCTTGACAATGTTTTTAATTAGTTGGTCTGCCTTCAAGGCTTATGAGATAATACTGTAACATTCTAGATCAATACATTCATTTTCAATGGCACTGCAAAGGGAAGGGAGCATCTTTCCCAAATCAAATAGGGATGAGTGAGAGAGAGAGAGAGAGAGAGAGAGAGAGAGAGAGAGAGAGAGAGAGAGAGAGAGAGAGAGAGAGAGAAAAGGGGGGGGGGATGAAAAATATGAAAGGGCCCCCACCCATCCTCCTGTGAAATATATATGTTATTAAAGCAAAAAATGAAAAGTTGTATAAGTGATTTAGAGTCATGGAATGGCCAGTTTTTACTGGTCAGAAAATCGTTGTTTTTTCTCTTTATCTTTAATAGAGCCTAATGTATATACTTACCGGTAGTATAATCTATATTTATAATATAAGTGCTTCTCCTATCCTTGGATCAAGGCTACACTTATTAATTATCTGGTGTAATGCATTCCACTTGCCATGGGTTCTAAATCTAGAGCCTTGATTGTTTGTGTAGCGATATGGATGGCATAATAATATCAGACAAAGTGTGCACAGGCATCTCACATGAGCATGAGTATTTGGTGTGCATTTTTGTAATATGAAGACAGCAGACCACATCCTGATCGCACATTGATGTAGGCCTACATCTTGGTGTTTGCATTGTTATGTATGAAGTGACATAGAGAAATTTGATTATGATATTTGTGTTTGCTTTCAATTTGATTTAATAGCTATTACAAGAAACTGACAGCCCAAGGGCTGAACTGCATGGAGTTTAACAATTAAAATCACAAAATAAAAATTACAAACATGGAAATTACTTCCTTCATGGTATGAGATGCCTATATATGCACACTTTGGTTGGTATTATTATTATGCCATCCATATGTCATCCATATGCCATCCATATTGCTACACAAATCGTCGCTGTTTTCACGAAGTGACGGTAGTGAAAAAAAATTGCATTCACTTTGCGTTACGATTTTCCTCGCTACCGTCACTTCGTGAAAACAAGGACGAAATGATCAAGAAGAAGCCAAGAACCTCTGCCTGCATTCCAAGATAATCATTATCCTTTGAGTGGAACATTACTGTGTAAAATGCCAAGGCCATTGTTATCAGACGTAAAATATCAAAATATGTATTCACGAATGTATTGTACATGTGTAGATATATATGTCTGCCCTCCTGATGACCATATGGCACTGATACTCTTCAGACAGTGATACATCTGCCTACCATTCCTATTTTAGAAGAACAATTCCTATTTTAGGGGTCTTCAAGTTACTGTATAAATGTATCCTAGATTCCTCTCTTTTTCTGACATATTCTGTGTGAAATGTACAAAATAGACAATTCTTTTGCTTGAGAGATTCCTCATTTTTGCAGTGAAAGGTTGGCAGGTATGCAGTAATATAACAGTTAATGTTTGAATAGTTAAAGCCCCACTGCACTACAAGTAGCTACTTGCGCCCTGTACATGTATTAGCAATCCAAGCGACCATTAGTCCCCCATGGTCCCCTTTTTCTAATAATTGAGAGCTTATTTGATGAGATAACCACCTGTCAGTGACCATGCAGGGAGGTCTAATCCCTCCTAGCCAACCAGTACAGATGGGCTTTAAGTTCTAGATTTTAGTCCAAGACTACATCTTAATTTTATCCCTGGTCCCATTTATCACCTACAGGTCTGACACGGGGGATACTCTAAGCGATACGTCTGGTGACATCACAGACATGGATGCAGAACCAGACAGTGATGTTGAGCAGGACTTGGACCAGATGCTGGGAACATGGCTCGGGGAACTGGAAACTATAACACAGGTTGGTATATAGACAAGGGGTTCATATGCATAAAACCTTACCACGCCTGTAATAGAACTGTTTACTAACATATATTCAAATTTTATGCATAATTTTTAGACAAATGTTTTTCTTGACAACCCGATGGATTGCCCAACATAGCCCAACATAGCAACAAATAATGTATGCACACTGGATTCCAAATATTGTAGTTCATTCTATGGAATACCTTGTCACTATGTCACCAGGAAACAAAAATCCATACATTTTAAAATGTTAGTAAACCAGCCAGCTATTGTTCATGTTTGTATGTGCCCTCTAATGCATAAAGTATTGAAATATTGAGGGTCTGGGCTTAGATTTAGGAAGTCCAGACATGTGTGAGTTAGTGAGAGGCTCAGGTGTATAGTGTATGATTAAGTCAATTAAAGGATGCCTGCCTTATTCTTCTATTTATATTTAATAATCTTTCAAGGTTATTATTTATAGTTATTTGAAAAAACAATTGTAGAATATTATGCAGTACATATACGTAGAACTGATTTTGACATAGAGTATGTAGAACGTGTGTAGACGTACATTTCTAAGTAAATGGCCTTCAAGATCCAGGAAAAGATTTGTTTCTGCAAACTATGTATGTGTACGTGACCATTCCACTTTCAGTTTCTGAGTGTATCTCATGTCTGATTCACTTTTCTATAGATTCAACATAGCATGATCGTTATTTCCTTGTTTTATGAAATCTTATGATAGTTGTGAATGTGAAGCGCCCATCTGAATTGATTGATTACAAATGGATTCTTTTTTTATCTTTCACTTCAAATCCTGATATGTCAATCAACACTGATTTCAAAAATGTATCATACTTCTTTTTCTTTCTTCTTCTTCTTCTTTTTCTTTCTTCTTCTTCTTCTTCTTTCTCTTCTTCTTCTTCTTCTTCACCTTCCCCCTCTCCTCCACCTCTTCTTTCTCCTTTACCTTCTCTTTTATCTTCTCTTTCACCTTCTCCCCTTCATCATCTTCATCTTGTTCCACTTATTCCACTTCTTCCACTATTAGAGTTGGTATTTAGCATAATAATATAGTATTAATGACTGCTTTGAGAGAAATAGTTGTTTTTCTACGCTCAAGGGAAGGTTACAATTGGGCTATTGCCCTCGGCACGCCTCGGGCAATAGCACAATTCTAACCTTCCCTTGAGCGTAGAAAAACAACTATTTCTCGAATATTAAAGCAGTCATTAATACTTTTATATGCCGAAAAAATTATAACACCACCTTAGCCTTTCTCTAGTTTATCTGCATGGTTGTTTTTTATGAGTGTTTCTTTGAAAGTAGACTAGATCTAGATTCTAGTCTAAGCAAGATATTTTTTACAATTTTAGGGGTGGGCCGGCCCTGCGGGGAATATGGAGAAAAACCTGCGCTTTCATATGACACCTCACTTATTGAGTATCACCTTCAGGATCATGAGCAATATTAGTTTGAATCTCTGGTAATTAAAACATCGAGTGCGCACTGGCCAATGGAAATGCATAGGGATGTGTTTAATATCTACGGGAAGGAACTGCATCTGTCCATGACGTACAAATCACTACAATCACCAGCATCTGGTTGTCGCGTACTAGAATCAAGATCTAGGCCTACTGAAAAAAAAATATGGAAGATTTCACATACCGTGTTCTTGCTGTCAGCATGTCTCAAATTTGATCCTCATCCAGAAGTTGAAATCTTGGGGGAGTTTCTACAGCCATTTTTGCCTTGTTTGAATCGAGATATATTGCCGTACTAAAAATGCTGACCAATTCTTCGCACACGTACGGTATCCTCGATCGCTCAAACCATTTTTTAACATGTAAACCTATGGGTAACCATGGTTACTGGGATTTTAGAACTATTTTTTAGAACTATTTTCCCGGTAACCATGGTAACTGGGATTTTAGAACTATTTTTTGAACTATTACATGGGTTTGGAATTTTACCGGGAATTTTACAGGAATAGTTAAAGTTTATGAATGCAATTTCGACCAATCAGATGGCTGGATTTCTTAAGTGAGGTATATAAAACTGTTTATTCTATCAAACAGCATCTTATGATGGGTTTTAGACATTTCTGTCACACATAGGAATTGCTATACTTGCCAGGGATGAAATAACTTTAAGTCTTTCATTTGTTTTCAACATCAGGAGCAATATAATATTTATAAACGTAACTCAAATAAATGTGAATGTAAGTTCTTTTGGGGGGCTGGGGGGGGGGGGGGGGGGCTATCAAAACTATATATTTCTGCATTAAAGTTCTTAAAGCTTAAACAGGTAAAATGTATAAATCGTAAACTAGTTCTTTCCTGTTTGGTAAAGTCTAGTAATAATAAAACTTATTTTCAACGTTCTTCTTCTTCTTTCAGTCAATTGATGCAGACATACATGTAGGTCAGCAGAGCCAACCAGCCCCTCTGCCTCCACATCAGTCAACCCTCGGCTCATTAGACAACTTCAGCTTCTCTGCTTTCCAGCTAGCTCGTAAGTTTCTATTCTTAATATAAGCTTCCTTTTTTCCATGGTTTTCCATGGTTTTTCGTTTTCTTCTGTCGATTTCTAATGAGAGAGCATATTAACTCTATTTTGAATATATTATATATATATATTACTTTTCACCATGTATTTTTACCCTCTTCATAATCATGATTTCTGTTAGTCTTAATTGATAACATGTATTTCATCTGTGCATGGTATCCGCTTTCAACATTGTATTTTTACACCTTTCATTTCCATCATTCTTAATTAATTAAAGGAATTTCAATTGTACTTGGAGCGTGCATCTAACAGTAAACCCCTTCAATCTTGACAGGTTTCATATCTTTTCAATTAGTAATCATGGCACATGGGATAATTCAATTTCCTACATACAGTGTCTTCTTTTTCTTTTTTCTTTTTTAATCTCCTTCATGTGAGATTCATTACATGTTCATGTAATCTTCTTATTCTAATGTGCTTTCAATATGTTTTTCACTCCTGTACTTAATTGGGATCTATAGTTTCTAATTTCAGTAGTTGAGAGATAATACACTCAGATTCAGTGTGAGTAGATGTATTTAACACTAGTTACTAATAATGTTTTATTTTCGTTGTCTTCAATTTTAATAATTTTAATATGCTGCAGACTCAACGTAGCTTTAGAGAATTGCCGGATTTACTATTGATCAGAATCTTTCAGGATATGAAACTCACAAATAATTTTGTTTTAAATTCAAGAAACTTTTGTTTGTATTTCAATATTTCCGTATTGGATTCATTTTTTATTAATTTGTTGCTTGAAACTTTTGCAAATCTCAACCACTCTCTACTTCTCAAAAATTTATTTCATGCAAAAGGTTCTGGTGATACACAGTTAATCAGTTATAATATGTTGATGGTGGTAAGCTTTCAAGTAACTAAATTAAGTAGTGATAGAACAGAGGTACTGTACATGTAAGATGCTTGCTTCCCATAGATAGATAATATTTTAAAGAATATATAAACATTTTTATAATTTAGATTCTAGAGTAAAGTATACTTTTTAATAGTGTGCATACAATGTAGTGTTTGTTTTGTTATACAATTCAGCTCAAGTCTAAAATAAAGAATGATGAAGTATTTTCATTCCCCATTGGATGTTATTGTTCACGACCAAAACAATCAGTTTCAGATTCAAACAATTGCAAATTAATGTACTACAGACCATCGTAAAATGACAATCATACATTTTCTTTGTCCTCTCTTCCATGACGAATACAAATCAATGCTTGGACAAATGAAAAATCACTTTAGAATAGTACTCCAACTCCCTTTGAGTCATAAAAATAATTGTCGCATTCAGTTTCACGTCATAAAAGCTTAGTCTCATGTAGTCTCTACAGACTATAGGCAATAACAATAATTTCATAACTTCTTATTTGACAGAACCCTACTGCAGGACTCCTACTTTCTATCTTTTCTGGGTTTTCTCTTTTGGGGAAAGACAGGATACTGTCTATGTAGTTTTTATTTTCACAGACATATTTTATCTTTATTTAGGAGTATTTAATAGAAAAACCAAGGGAATGCTTTGATCCACATTTTTGCTAATAGGTTTTTGTGTACTAAACATTTAAAAAAAAAAATCAAATAAGTAATGATTTTACCTTTTTTGATTGTGCAATGAATGCAGTGCTTTATATAAGGGAGAAACATTTGCAGCATTCATTATTTTAAGCTCTTCATTTGTCTTGTTTATGACTCTTTTACAATAATACAATACATCACCCACAGAATCATTATCAAGTCCTCTAACAAGTTCCTAACATAATATCTCAAGGTATAATTGAATTTGGGTAAGAGGAGGGAAATCTAAACATGGCTTTGAAATTTTTTAGCGTAAACTTTTATCATATTTTCTTGCACTCAACTTTAATCATATACAGTGTACTTGTAGCTGAGCTCATAGATGAAATCGTGATTGCGTCTAAAATCTAAAATTTCATACGAACACAAATGCGTATAATCAAAGTCTTCGGATAGGACCCTTGCATAATGTTTCAACACTAGGGCACAACACCGCATTAGCAATCAGGAAAATGCCACAGGTTATCTTTTCCTCGTTTATCATGGTAGAGTTCAGAGTAGAGTTTCGATTGCCGATGTTCAGGAAATGACATCTCGGTAGAAAGGATACGTAGGACTCGTGTAGAATATACTTGACATACAAGGCTCTAGGGTATAGAATTTAATAGTTACATCATGTACACATAGGCCTACATGTTGTTGTACTGATCACTTAAATCACTGATCACTTAAATCATAGTAGCTTGCTTGCTATCAGTAGTGAGAGATCTTTTAGGCTGCATAGGCTGGTATTTGAACGTTGCACAAAATATGTGTCACTATTCCGTCACATAATTCTCTTTAAAATCTGTAATCATGCTGCTATTTTCTGGATACATTAAAAAGATTAGTATTCAATCACTAACTTTATACCTTTCAACGGCAGAGAGGTGCCATTAATTTCTTAATGATACAAGTAGATATAATTAACACTAATTAATTAACAATATACTAATGGCTGGATTAGACCTCTGTAGTGTTGGATTTAAAGAGAAGAAGGATTTTTCGATATTTTTTATTTTTTATTGTAACTTCCTTACATTTACAGTATATTCAACAACTTCATCAACCTCAAGAATCGTTTCAGTTGTTACATTATATGACCTATGTTTGGAGGAGTAAAATGTTTTAAACAGGTGGTTGACAAATAGAAAGATGCATGCTCTACATTAATGTACTCAGTCAAGTGAAAGGTATTTTATTCTTGAACTGCTGAAACAACAGACTCTTGAGAGCAAATTTAAAAAGAAAGGTAATTTCCGTCCGTCTTTGGCACAGCCAACCATTTTTATTTTTACAGTCTGTTGAGACTGAAGATTTTCTGTTTCGTTTTGTTTTAGATGCCTGGCAAATAGGCTACTGGCAAACTTACAAGATAAAAATAAATATTTGGATTTCAGTGGGAGGAAAAACTCCTAATTTGAGCACTGTGTTAATAAATAGCTTTTGGCTCTGATATTTGTCTTTGATGTTTTGGTTGTGAACAGGAAATTTGTAATTTTCCGGGAGGAGAGGGTGTTAAATGGTCTCATCTGTAGCTTGTTTCATTGGGAAATTGGCATTTTTTAAAAAATCTTATCATATAAAGACCAACAATCATTAGCCAAGACCTACATCATTGGAGGGGTTGCAACCACAGACTCTAATTTGATACTTTACCACAATTCTTAAAGCCTTGAGCGGAGCCTAGATCTGCCCGTTTCTGGCTGTTTCAAACAGCTCAAGTACAGAGTGTATTGTAGTCTCATTCTGCAATTGCCACTCTTTACCCAGGTATAGTAAACACTAAACAGGGACTGGATTGATAAGAAGACTATCCTTGAATGCTTTTGTTGCATTGTAAAGTAGCCTCTGCATGGTTCTTTTTGCGGGCCTCTTTAGTGCCAAAATAATTTATGCAAATTTTGTATGCTATTGTTATTTTACTTTTTAGTTTCCATCTTGTTGATATTGTTTGAAAAATGTCAGGGTTCTGCTTATGAACAGGTCTACATGTTTCCAGCAAGATATTTTTGCCATGTCCGTCAAATTTCCCAACAGCTTACACATTTTCTTGTAAGAATAAAATGACATTTACTCTGTATTCGCAAATAATTTTCATCATTCCTTTTGTCATATTGCATTATTTTTCAAATTCTTCGGTGTAGAAAAGTTGTATAGTCATTTTTTTCAGACAAGATTGGTCACACTATCCTCCACTGCTGTGTTGAGTATGGATGAATACTACCTTTCTCCTCTTGTGTGCATTATCCCTATAAAGCATGATGTATTCTGAAGGAGAAGGAGGAGGAGGAGGTATTAACAAATTGAGCAATTAGGCTCAGGATGGGGTAGACCATTACAAACGCTTTCCTGTTTCTCACCAACCCAACCGCACGGTTTAAGGGGATAGGTGTTGTGGTATTTCTTGTACGTCATAATCACTTCATTATTTTGTGAGCAACATGTTGGTTGCTACAGATGGGGTGTAATGTTGTTCAGTCCGTCGTGTAGATACATGTACGTGCATACATTGTTTCTATTTTTCTAATGCGTGGAACCTCCCCCTCAAAAAGACAAAAATGTTAGGTTAAATGAAATACTAGAAAGGCAAGGACATGTACATGTGAATATGGGCCATTTCCCGATTTCAGCAAATACACCACAATTTCAATGATCAATAAGTCTCATGAATACAGTACTGCCCTCATGAACATGTATGTTTGATGTATAAGAATTTTCTAATGATCTAATATTTTGATTAGTTTGAAATTTATTCTCATGAAAAGGTGAAGCAAGTGACATTGATGTTTGGTAAAACAGTTCTGGTAGCAAATTAGCAACCAGAACTTTGTTTCTATCTGTACATACATAGCATTTTCCTTCCAAAAACATTAACAAAATGTGGTTCCTTTTTACAAAAGACTAAATCATGAAAGAAATTCATCAGGATGGGTGTTCTTGTAATAATGGTTTGAAAGTTCCTGTATTACAGGTTGTACATCCAAAAGGAAAAAATTATCAGTAATTTAGAAGAACTCTCTGTTCAAGAACTTTCAACCAATATATGCTAAATCTTTTTCAGTGTGCAAAGCATCATCCTATCCCAAGATTTACATGTCAGAGGCTTATCTGTATCCCTGACATACAGGTGAATAACGAACAAAATGGGCAACAGGCTCTCTTTGCTCTGTCCACAGCAATCTATACATAGGTTTTCAAACCATCAAACATGCATGAGCCGTCAATGTATTCATGAGACAACTTGCTACCTCTTTCAATGACCCTCTAAATGCCTCTGACTTTCCTCGTGGAGTCATTACCATGATTTGTAGGTCAGTGATTTGTGATGGGGGGTGCATTGAGGGGCCCTCCTTTAAAAATAGAGTCCCTCTCAAAGGGGGAAGTGAATTTTGATGTTT